CTTACTGGAACAAAATTTTCACGGGCCCGTGCATGTTTACCAAGCATGCTTGAGAGCTGGGTTCGAACTGAATGAAACTTAGGCGGACGGGGATACATTCCTTTAGCTTCTCAGGTAATCGAATTATCAATTTACCCGAAAAAAATTTTGGCGGACTAATACGCGGGTACCACGCCTACTCGGGGGGCTGGGTTTGAGCCCACTAATGCCAAGTTGGGCGAGGAACATTAACGAGGAACTACCCCAAGATTTCAGTCTTCTAGCTTCTCAGATCCCCGAGTTATGAACTGACCTCAAAAAAACTTTGGCGGGCTCGTGCGCGGGTACCACGCGGGTTTTGGCAGCCATTTTGGGGACTGGGGGCGGTACGTGCATGTAGATTAGTTTCCCGAAATTTCAGCCCCGCTGCTTTTATAGGTCCTGAGATGAAAGTGCGTGACAGACGCACACACAGACACAGAGACGCACAGACACACGGACAAACTTTCGTCAATATGCGCTTTTTGCATTGCATTGCTGCAAAAAACGCATAAAAAGGGTAAGTGTAAAGCAGCAACCTTTCATACAGTTAACGGCCTGATTACTTCAATTTTAGTGCAAAAAAGCATGACCGCACCGATAAGCCTGGTGTGTTCCAGCCTAGGGTTACGAATATTTGTCACTCAGACTGCCGTTACGAATATTTGTCACTCAGACTGCCTGGGTTACAAATGTCATTGACCTGCCTACAATTGTGCCCACTAGGTATCTGACACAGGTGTAGCCAGGTCACTGTGAATTCATGCTCAGCAGTTCCAGGATGGAAATGCCCGAAAAGAACTTCATTCGGATGTGCAGGGCAAGTTTAAAATGTCAACTAATCAAATTACTTTGGACGAATAAATGCTTGTCCCAAAGGCATCAGCTGTTTGAGATAAACTCGCAGTATAACGACTCCACCTTCCCAGGCGGTTCATGTTTGCTCAGTGCGAGATTCCGTTTTCTACTTCCTAAAAAAAGCGTAGACAGATAGCCTCTGGTCAGAGTGACAAACTTTCATCAACTCATCAAAGATGTCGGTGGTTTCTTCTTTCGGCGAATTACTTCAAAGATGCAATGGGGAAGTGGTGCTGTTGTCGTGCATCAGTAAGTGGGGGATTTGATCCTGCCGATGGGACAATTAGCGCCGCTGCGATTCATTTATTCGTCTCGGTGGTAAATTAGTATTGACTAACATATGCCATTAGCTTATTTGTAAGCAACTTTTGTAAGAGGGAGCCATAGGCTGTCTTGCTATGCGTATTTGCTACCACTCGGGCTACCTTCGAAGTGCTTCTTTTTATTTAGAGCGAAAGATGTGGGAATTTTGACTACTGTGAATTAAATTACTTTTATTGAATTTTATTGAATGTTTCTTCTTTTAACTTCACCCCATTCATGTCACGTTTGGCGCGGCAACAGGTAATAGCTGGAAAACAAGTCCTTCCGGCGCATGACTCTTCACACCTATGTACATAGTGCTATTACTACTGCCAGGCTACCACCCCTCATTTGCCCTCAACCTTCATCCGCATATAATTGTAACTCTAGGGTAAAAGTGCCAAATTGAACACAGGAGAAACAGACAGGTTGCTGAATAACCAGCCCTGCCCTGTCTCAT